CTATTGCTTTTCATGGATTTGTAGATCCTTGGTTCCTATCTCCCATGCTTCTCTCATTTGATTTCTTGCATTATGTTATTTCAGTTTACATAATTACTTTTTTGCTTCTCACAGATCATTTTAGTTGATAGGTGTTTTTCTTGTTTCTTGTAGATACTCCAAAAACTTGTTGTAATTTTTGAAGTGGCAAAAAGTACGAAAATCAACCAAGCTGATGACTAATGACTATAACTCCTGGTCAGAGGAAATCATGATTTCACATGTGGTTGTGATGAGTTAGAAAATATGCAAATATTATCAATAAAATGAGTAATTATGTTTATGATGTATATATTCTTTATAACACATCAGCTATTATTAAAACTAGGGAAAAGAGTCTGATATACCCCTCAACTTTGTCATTTAGAGCTGATATACCCCTCGTTATAAAAGTGATTCATATATGCCCTTACTGTTATACAAACGGCTCACATATACCCTTCATTTAACGGAAGTTAAAAAATTAGTTTTAAATTTATATTTATTACTTCTAATTTTTTTAAAAAAATTATTTAGTGGTATATATGATTCTTCTATCAGAGTTCAAGGTATATTTTAATTTTTTTCATACATCAATTATTTTTTGACTTATTTTATTATAATTATTTGAGTTTCTTATTCTTGTTTTGTTTTTTTCTTTCCTTCCTTAGTTTAAAGAAAAAAATTAAACTATTTTTTTTTATATATTGTAATTTAATTTCGTATTCGAAGAAAAAATTTGGTCATCTACAATAAGTTTTACAAGAATATTAGTGAAACATAAATAAATATAATTATCAAAATAATAATTATAAATTAGTCACTGAAACAAAAAAAGTCAAAAAAATATGTTTGACGAGGATTAAATTTACTCATATAGGATTATATTTTTTTGAAAAAAATAATAAAAATTTAAATTAAAATTATTATTTTTTTCATTTTCGTTAGAGGAAAGGGTATATGTGAGCCATTTGTTTACAAGTAGAGGTATATATGAGCCACTTTCATAACAAGGGGTGTATCAGCTCTAAATAACAAAGTTTAGTGGTATATCAAACTCTTTTCCTTAAAACTATCTAATGGTCTTTCTTTAGTAGTTTGTCTATTCCGTCCATATACATGAAAATGTCATTCTATACATAATTGATCAAGTCGGATTACTATGATAAATATTACGTCAAAGACATGATATGTCGAGCCCGTGCTCAGCACGGGCCACTACTGTCTGCTATATATACATATGGCACCTCAGCACTTGGACAATTTGTCCGTTTTGATCGATTCCTAAATTAAGTGGCCTATTTGAAATTTTTGTTGTGGCCTTTTAAGCTTCGAATCCCTGCTTCAAGAATGGGATCTGTAATTTTTTATTTTATTTCAAAAAAAATGGGGTGGAGAAATACCCAAGGGGATTACTATATATAAAATGAAATGTCACCGGAAAATTCAAATAGTCAACAAATTAAGCTATTAAGATTTTTCAAATGAGGTATGTAATTACAATGAAAAAGACAGATAAATAATTACTTATACATTGCAATAATTTGTAGTACGGTATATGACAAAATTAACTTACGGAAATCTAACTCGTACAATTGGTTTAAGTTTAAATGACTATTGATTACTATTTATCAATTAAATTCATTTTATCACAATCAATTCCGACTCCTAAAGATATAGTTCAAATTAATTCAGAAAAAATATGATAAAAATATATTTTTATTTGAAACATATTATATAGTCATAATAAAAAATTATTAAACAATAAAAAAATTGTAAAAAACAAATAAAATTTTAATTGAAGTTAGATGACCACTCACAAAATTAAATGAAGTTAGAACTTAGAAGGGCTTATATTTTAGTAAGTAATTTCATATAATTAAATTTACAGTCTAATGTGTTTTATAATACTTTTTTTTGTAATTTTTATTTAAATATTACAGTATGTAAAAATATTTTTACAATTAAAAATTCAAACTGACTGTATAATTTCAACAGCAAGCACCACATTTGTCACCTTTGTTAGTTCTTCTGTCAGTTTACTGCTTCAAAGTCAACTGAATTTAGATTTACAATTAGAGAGCAAAATTGGAAATACTTCATCTCACAAATTTTGTGCTACATTTTTTCTACTGTGAATTCATGAATAACTCTTCTCAGCTGGCGAGTTTCTTCTTCCTCATTTTCATCATAGCGTTCACACACGAATCGACGAGTTCAGCGATCATCAATCCATCTAAGTCTAAGCAAATTTCATGGAAACCTAGGTATTTTTGCTTCTACTACTTCTTAATTCTCTGTTTATTGTTTTTTTAATGGATTTGATTTTTGATTGTTTACAGAGCTTTTGTATATGAAGGATTTCTTACGGATGAAGAATGCAATCACTTGATATCACTTGTGAGTCTTATTTCCTCTTTTTAATTTTTTTTTGTAGGAAATTGAAGTTTTTGTGTGTGGATTTGTTTGAATTTGGGGATTGTATTGTAGGCGAAATCGGAGCTGAAGAGATCTGCTGTGGCAGATAATGAGTCTGGAGAGAGTAAGCACAGTGAGGTTAGGACCAGCTCTGGAATGTTCATTTCCAAAGCTAAGGTTGGTTTTCTACACCTTTTTATGTATAATTTCACCATTTTTACTTATTTTATCTTTCAATGTTGTGATGATTCAACTCATATTTCTATTGGCACAAGCTAGTGTTTTGTAATTATCTGGATCTTCACTTTTTTCGAGCTTTAATTTAGCATGTTCTATCACTTACATGATCCTGCAATAATGGTTTTTGATCTTTAAGTATTAACAGTGGTTGTATATGTTAGTTTTCTCATCTCTCTATTCGGAGAAAACAAATTTTGTTGTGTTTCCGCATTTTTCTTTTTGGGACGCAAACTACCTTAAACATCTGCAAAACAAGATGAGGTTCACATCATTTAGCACGTGATCTATTACTGATGGAGAACGATATGGATTTGATTGGGATTCATAATACTTCTTATTGATCCACTTTTCCATACCTGCCCATCTCCAACATAGTTCTTGTTGTTTTAATCTGAATAATCGATGATTGCTCTCAGCATATGACTTATTACAGGCTTCAGATGATATCACTTGTTTTAAAGACAAACTCACTGTTTCACACTTTTTAACTTCTGCATCTTTGATTTTGTGAAATCTATTCTCGTGCCGCAGGATCCTATTGTCTCAGGGATAGAGGATAAGATAGCAACTTGGACCTTTCTACCCAAAGGTGTGGCATCCCCTAAACGATACTTCTATGTGAATTTTTTCTGAACTCATCAATAGTTAGTTGCATATTCAAGATTCTCTCTAATATGTCTATCAGTCTTCTCATGTACAAAGTTAACTCACTTCAGTAAAATGTTTGTAGCTGTATGAACATTAAATGATAATTCCTTCTTTTATACTAAATATCATTTGACAAGTTGAACTGTAAGAGGTTTTGCAGATGTTGGGTTTCACTAAGTTTCAAGACTGAGAATGACATAATGTGGTGTTGATTAAAGAGTGCAACCTACTAGATGAGAGGAAATATATTTGGTTTAAAATATTATCTGTTCTGTTCACTCTTTATTGGTTTACAATGGATATGTTTTTATTGAAAAAACCCGATATGCTATATCTGCTATACTAAAAGTATAAAAGCTGTTAACTTTTTAACTACTCATTCTGTAAGACTTAAGTTATTAATTACCTATATTACAAGAATTATTCTCCTTGAATTCAATTATGAACAAACTTTTTTGACAGTAATTCCCTGTTTTATCCATTAAGTTTGTCACTATATCTTCTGATTAGAAATACCCAAGTACATGATAGTTACTTCTTATTTACAGAAAATGGAGAAGAAATACAAGTACTACGATATGAGGAGGGGCAGAAATATGAGCCGCATTATGATTACTTTGTAGACAAGGTTAATATTGCTCGAGGTGGACACAGGTTGGCTACTGTACTTATGTATCTCACTGATGTTGAAAAGGGAGGTGAGACTGTCTTCCCAAAAGCAGAGGTTAGTTTAGTTTGGTTTGATTCTCTACTTTGTGTATTAGAGAAGTCTTTCTGTTCGTCTCTCTATAAATTGAATGCTACTGATGAAATGGCATTTGCAATTTAGCTTCACCAAATTTATACTACAGTCTGATCTTGGCTTCTTCTTCTTCTTTGTTTTTGAATATTTTATTACACATTCTTTACTCAACAAATATTGGAACTTTCTACAGGAATCTCATCGACGTAGGTCAATGGCAGCAGATGACAGTTTGTCTGAATGTGCAAAGAAGGGCATAGCAGGTAAACCTATACGATTTCAAAATCTCTCAGAATTGTTGCATAGTTGTATTTGCTGAAACTTATTGTGCATCTTTCTCTTCTCGGAATTTATCAGTGAAGCCACGAAAAGGAGATGCCCTGCTTTTCTTTAGTCTCTATCCAAATGCCACTCCTGATCCTATTAGCCTCCATGGTGGGTGCCCTGTACTTCAAGGTGAGAAATGGTCAGCAACAAAGTGGATTCATGTGGATTCCTTTGACAAAACTGTGGGTACCGATGGAAATTGCACCGATGCTGATGAGAATTGTGAGAGATGGGCTGCTCTTGGCGAATGCACCAAGAATCCTGAGTATATGCTGGGAAGTGCAGACCTTCCAGGATATTGTAGGAAGAGCTGCAAAGCATGTTAAATCAGTATGCTTCTCTCTCCCACTAAATTAGTGTCGAGAGTCGAGACAGTGACAGTAATTTGGTTTAGTTGTTTGTATTTTATGTTAACTTTCTTCAACTTCCTCTTTTCCTAGTGACGTTTGTGCACTACATTGCATATTCTGTTTTGATCTGCTTCCACATACAGGTGCAAGCATGCAAGAAACAAAAGATTTGATATAATATGATAGCTAGGACTAAGACATATATCAATATTTGGATTGACCAAACACTGATAGTAGAAAATACGACCTTTTAGGAAAAACAAAAGGATGGAGGAAAATGGGAAGAACACTTTTTGCGCAACAATGAATTGTGTATCGACGATAATAGGATCAACTGTTTTTAATTTTTCTTCTGTTTTGGATTTATTTGTATAAAAGGAGAAGACGATGACAGAACCAGACCGTGAACATTATATAATTTTGATCTTACCTTTTGTTTATGTTAGGTTATTAGCACTTTAATAGTAATATTTAACATATTAAATTGCTTTATTTTGGAGTTATAAGAATGACCGTTGGAATGGATAACTTCTACATTATCCATTAGCATTGATTATCCATCACTTTATTTCATTCTTAATTCCTCCATTACTCTTTGTAACCTATGTAACTCTTATTTTAACATATGTAATCTATGAAATTCCTAAGGCCATTATCTTCACCATTTGCTACCTCCATTATCTTCCTATTCATTGCTATCGATGTAACCTATGAAACTCCTAAGACCATTATCTTCACTATTTACTATCTCCATTATCTTCCTATTCATTGCTACGAAGACTTCTTATAATATAAATAGTGTGGTGGTTTTCATTTGGTTTGGAACACACAACATACAAGAGAAAATATAGAGTGAAAAGGTTAGTTAAAAATATAGTTCTTATTAGTTGAAGGGAGATGTTCTTTTTTGTGGGGCTTTAGACTCAACTCTTGTCCAGAGTTGTTGAGTTATTTTTTGTTTAAAGGTTGTTGTATCCTGGAGGGGACAAGTCAAAGAGAACTACTGCTGAATCGAAAACGTTTGTTGCAGTGTGCTTGAATCACCTTAAAGAGAGAGATATCCGCGCCTCAGCCTTGAAGAAATTTATTTTCTTCATTTTATTTTTAATTATAATCTTATATTTTTTGTTATCTACTAAGTTTTTCACTAACAGTTTATGAATTGGATCAAATCCTAAGTGGTCATACACAAAATGGAGAGGGCAGATCCATGATTTAAGTTCAACGGGTTCAACCGTTTCTCATTGTATTTTGAATCTTATGGTTCTAGACCTACTATTTATCGCAATATAAATGTACTTTTACATATAAATTTATATTTCACGTCAAAAGCATTGAGTTGATATGAACCAGAAAACCCTTGCCTTAATCCTAAATGCAAAACACTTGCAAACTTTTTGAAATTAGATGATTCAGAATGAATATGATCTTATTATATGTATACATTTGTTTAAACATATGTATACCTAATTCAAACATAAAAAAAAATCGAAATTCAGGCATTTACGACTCTACAATTCTTCCTTATTTCTCCTTCACCACCCACAAGGACTCTAATTCCGCCCATTTTCTTCATTGAACGGCCAAAATATGCTAAGAAAACATGTGGATTTTGCATCTTTTTAACAATCAGAGCAGAAAGGGAGTTGGTCACTAACGCAGCATCTGATCCAAGCAATCCCATATGTTGATTGAGAGCCTCAAAATAATGGCTATCAAAGGAGAAAGAACTTTTGGGATCCAATTCTAGTATAGTTGATCTATTAATAGGGTTAGGACATAATTTCCTCAAAGCTGTAGCATAATTGGGATTCAATGAAGGATCAACATCACCCTTTCCTGTGAAATTGTAAAGTCTTCTAGCAACCAATGTGCAATGTGTTACTCCTATTGTATGTGCCCCTGCATATCATGATTAATTCATCATTAGTCGGGATTGTTTGTTAACTGGTTAGAGTCATGCAGATATTAGTAATGTACAAATTCGTTATGAGTTAATTTATATTTTATTTATTCAAGAGATAAGTTATTCATGTAGTAGTAGTTATTCCACCTTCTATCCTACATAAAATAAACATAAATTCTCTCATAACTTAAATATGTAATAGTTTGTAGGTTTCTAAATCATCAACCAAAAGTCATATTAATTTTAGGGTAACTTACAGAAATCTCACAAAATTTAAGAGCTAATTACTTAGATTCGCACTAGTTTACAATATTACAAAATTTATGAGATTTTAGACTTCGGATACATGTATCCGGCGCGTTCAAATATATGAGATTCAAAATTAAGTGCGTTCGGATACGTTCGGATATACTTTGTATTCAAGTGGATTCACATGTATCTGACTCTCTAACTTGTCTCTATGCTTGTATCTAGTATCTCAGATACATGTATCTAGTGTGATTCACATGTATCTGGGATACATATACTATCTCGCTCACCTGATCTATTCCTATTTTAGTGTATCTGGTAGTAAAAGTACATGTATCTAGGTTATCTGACTTGAAATCTGGCATGAAATAATTAATTAGAGGAAAATATGTAATTATACCAAACTATAAGGAGAATTAATAAATATGATTAGAATTTTTGTCTAATTAGGTAGTTTTTCTTTAACTTTATACATGAATAACTTACTTCCAATCTAACTATCAGGTGTCATGTAAGTCATATGAAAACTAATACATGAATATCTTATTTTTCATCTAGCTACCAAACGACCTTATGAGACCGTCACTACTACTCATTTAAATGAACACACATATGAAACTTTCATCACCACTCTCTTAAAAAAGAATCTTGATACTTAGCGTAAAAAATTAAAATAAAATTTATTTTCTTAAATTTCGTATCAATAAGTATATGATCTAAAAGAATAAAAAACAACAAAATGATAGTACTACATTTCTTTCCTTAATGAAACCATGCATGTTAGTGTTATTAATTGGAGATAATAATTTAAATTAGTTTTATTACCTGACAAAGTGACCAAATCAACAATGTCCAAGTTGTTGTCTTCAAATTGTCCCAAAAGAGTGGAAAAGTTTGCAAAACCAGAAGGCAAATTATTTAATGCTTCAGATGCAATCGATACCCTTCCATCTTTTCTCCCTGTTGGAACTTGCCACATTGACCTTCCAAACTATTATTAACAATATAATAAACTTTAATTAGTATTCTGGTGACTCTATTTTATATGATACTCTTTTTTTTAATTATTACGTATTAATATAATTGCTAACGTACTTTTTTTGTGTTACAAGTTTTTTTTTTTGTAATTTCTTATACTTATCAAATATCGATATATAAAATGAGATCGAAGGAGTACGTTAATGCTCACCTTAAACTTCTTTACATATTTATCAATAGCGGCGAAGCTAAAATTTGAAATTTATGAGTTCTGAATTTTAATTTTTTAGTTACTGAATTTCAAGTTGATAACATACACATATTTAGGCCGAACATCTAGCCAATACTCCTAAATGTAGTGCTTTAGTAATGGATTCATTAAATCAAGTATAAATAATATATTTAGAACTTAATAAATTGAATGAGTTGTGATAAATAAACACATAATGTTAAAATTGTGAAATGTATATATATGTAGGTGCTTACTTGGTATGAAACAGCATCTCGGGCTGCCAAGGTTAGAATATCAGCACAAGAAACTTGATGTGGGCATACTTGTTCTACTTTCTTCTTTATATCGTCGATAACCTCATAACCTCCTACGGATCTATTCGGAAGTGCTGTTTTTTCTCCACTATTATTTGGAGTCGAATCAAGTAGAATTGATGCATCACATCCCTGCAATAATATTTTTAATGTATAATTTATTACATTAATCAATGTAATTTAACATGTTATATGTTTTTCAAGTAACGCATTACACTTATTGAGGACGAAACCATGCATGCACCTATTGTTATCTTTTAGATGTTTTTATGGTGCAATATATATCCAAATGGTTATCGTACAGAAGTTAAATTCTACTTTCTAAGACGTGATGTGTATATACAATAATTAACTCTCGGAGAAGTTCTCGATAGAGTTGATAGAAAAGATCAGCAAAAATGTTGCGCAGTGTTATGTACTTATATTTTTCTTTATATCGTTATTAATTAGAGAGCTCGTATCCAAGTCATGCAAATGGTATTATTTTTTATAGGAAACGCTTTAATACTCCCAAAGTAGGATAAAATGACTAATCGAACCCTAATATGAATATCAGATTTGAAACCCCCTTATACATAAAATATTTCTTCTATCTACTGTACCTGATTAAAAATAGTTTTTTATGTATATAACACACCTTGAGCTTCTTCGTTTCATATTTTGAATTCTTTTAGTAAATTTCTAATTTCATACTGAATATAATCGATAGAAAAAAGAAGATACGTACCCTGACAAAACAGTCATGATAGTGAAGTCGAAGTAGCTTTGCAGCCAAGGTTGGATCAGCAGCAACTTTGCTCCATGTTATTTCCTTAACAATCTTTTCAACTGAAGGGCAACTTTTGTGATAATAATTCATCTTCAGCTTTTTATTATCTGCATTGCAAATCCCCAAAAACATAACACTAATTATAAATAGAAAAAAAATAATTGGCTTCATCTTTTTACCCTTTAATTTCTTTCTATACACAAAGAGCTACCCAATTAATGTATACTATATACTAACTCAAATATTAATATGCTATTGTTGGTGTTTGAATAGGCTTCTTTGAACTATATTTATAGGATGATTATTATTATTTTTCTCTTTTTTATATTAGCTACTTCTTTGCACGATTTTATGTACATAGCAAATGAAAAATTCATACGTGAAGATGAACTGAATAGTTTTGATATTCATGTGCTTCTTAATTAATCATATGTAGTTCATTCAATTATGCATGATAATTTAATTTCTTGTATTAATTAATCGTTGACCCAAGAAACATATTTTTATTCGACAAGGATATATAGAAAAAATAAAGGAGAAATTACGTGTCTTGGCAAATTTATATTATTTAATTACTCATCATAGTTATAGTTTGCTATAATTACCACCGGTGACTAACATTATACATTAATTATGTGGGCTAACTTCGAATTTGTATAATTAGCCAAGTTTGTATATATATATATATATAATTCGCCAGGATAAACAGACACATATGTATAATATACAATCATTTAACCTATATACGTGTACAATTTGCCTCTCTCCCACTCTCTGCCCTCTCTCGCTCGCCTATCTCCTCCCTCTCTCAATCTCGCTTGCTATATATATAAATACATATGTATAATATATAATTATATATATACATATACAATTCACCTCTTTGCTCTCTCTCTCGATCTCGCTCGCTTCTCTCTTCCCTCTCCCAGTCTCACCCGCCTCTCTCCTCCCTCTCTCAATCTCTCTTGCCATATATACAAATATATATGTATAATATACAATTATCTAACCAATATATATATATATACAATTCACCTTTCTCCCACTCTTTTCCCCCTCTCTCTCGCCTCTCTCCCAATCTTGCTTGCCTTTTTCCTCCATATAACATGTAGCTACAAATTATAATTATCAAACTATAGCTATGGAGAGTAATTAATTATTTTTAAGTGGTTATATCTGAAAGTTTCCCAAAAATAAATGAGCTTCAAGTTATATATAAGGATGTTGTTACCTAGCAGTAGAGTCGTCAAAAAAGGGTCGGTCCACCCCCATCCGGTCCTAGCCTCGCGGGCCAAGGAATTTGATGAGCTACGACGGACCGGTCTTTCATATGGAAGGGCGTGAAAATGCTCAACCCATCCCAATTTTAGAAGGGGTCGAAGACTTTTTTTTCTTTTCAAACTTAAAATTTTATAACATCAAGACAATGAGAAGATTTTCAAATCAAATATGGCAAACAATGGTGTTGTTTCATTAACACTAGCAAAAAATCTAGTGTGATTGGCATATATCTAGGATACTAGATATGCGAGATACATGTATTTGGCGTGATGCTTCCCAAATATACGAGCGAGATAAGAGAGTGACAAGCGAGATGAGAGGGAGGCAAGGACGTGAGATTTCTCTATGTATCCTAGATGTATCGCCATTTGGTAAGATTTGTATATTATAACATAACATGTATTTAAGCTATTAGTTGATATACTGATAAAATTATTGTAAGTTATCCTTAAATAAAGTAAATAGTTTTGGCCTTTGGGTGACGCAACCCAGCCCCAAAAAAATGCACAGCATGACGTCTCCTTTTACTAATTGGCAACATATAGTCATCTTTTATTTTTTTTGAAAATCAAATTTTGCAATTAGTAGCCCACGTATTAGGAATTTTTTTTATTAAATTAATAATAAAGAGGTAGCAGCATGATGTCCCTTTTTATTGGGAAGTGGTTTTTTTCTCTTCTTTTTCGTCCATATACAGTTCTTTTGAATCATGTTTTTATTTATTGATTATCTTCTTCATTATTTTGAATAAAAGATTATTTACTTTCTTGTTTATTAGTTTTACATATTATATCTCTTAAAAACATTCGTCATAGAATATTTTTTCTCTTTCGCTCCTAAATTCTTGATAATTTGTTGATATTTACCTGTTAATTTTCCTAAATGTTAGCCTATGTTTGATCCCTCTTATATTGTTTTTTGGGGGGCCGTGGGGGGATGTTTAATTTTGAATTGAAGGTTATATCTAATTTAGGTAAAAAAAAATTATGTAATAATTTTTAATTGTGCGTATCAATTGTCATGTTTAAAAAAGTTATCCTAGGGATTATTCATAAAAATGAAGATTCAGACTCTAATTTTATGGATTCTCCATCTCTAAAATTTTATAGCTATCTAAGTTCTTATTGTTATCCGATTCAACTTGTGTGTTGTCTATTGAACATTTTATATTTCATGTGCAATCCTCATTTTCTGATGAACGAATCTAGAATGTATACAAACTTTGAGAGAATGAATACACGGATATGCATACATAAATGCAATACATACATGATGTTCATTATTAAAGTATTTTTTTCAATGCAATGTATACATATTATAAGTGAATGAAATTTCCTTTTAACCAAAAGGGCAAAATCGCTACTTCGCGAGCAATTTTGCCATTTTGATTAAAAAGAAATTTCATATACCGTTTTAGAATTTTTGTTAACACTTTTTACCCTTTAGGCTTCGGACTCATGAATACACCATTTTTCTACCTCTATGCAATCATCAAGTATACAATTGAATTTTTTATTATCAAATAATGAACGAAAAAATATGTGAAAAAAATATAATTTATGTTTTTAGGCGGTTATAATATTGTATGTATTAGTTTGTACGTTTTCGCTATTTTTATTGTTTAGTGATATTGGTTATACAAGAAAAACAAAAAAGAAAAATAATTAAAATGTCATTTATTAATTTGATCATTTTGTGCTTATTTTTTATTTGTCTATTAAATGCTAATTAATGTTGCTAATAATAACTATCGTATATATATGTCATTTCCTCCCCAATCAAGTCTCCAAGACTTAAACGGGTCGGACTTATAAGCCCATGTTTAAATGGGCTTGAAAAATCCTAATTCAATCCTACCCCAATAATCTGTTGGTTGAGCCGACTCGATGAGTCAAAATTATTTATGTCACCATTAATTTATATTTGTCATATTTTGCTTCACAGAATCTATTTAACTAATTTATAAAGTTAAAATCTTTAAAGTTCAATTGAAATAAATGAATCTAATATTTCTTATTTAGATATTAAAAATTATACAAAAAAACATTATAAGTTGTTATCCTTCTCATATATGTTAGTAATATATATGAAAAACATATCTCAATATATTAATCGAAATTTATATAGTTTGACTCTCAAAAAACAAAAAGTGACATTATTCGATATATTATATAATGTCAGTTCACATTTTAACCTATTTTTTTAATAACTAAAATAACTTTTGAGCGAGTCAATAATCTTTTATCATTTATTTACTAGTCTCTTTTGACCTGTCAAAATTCAGCTTAGCAATACCATTTACCATGTATCCTGAATATATATTGCCTCTTCTATTTTAATTCCCCCTTTTTTTTCTTTTAAGGAAAAATGATTTTAAACTAACTTTAACATTTCTTTCAGAAAGTAATTATATGGCAAAAATAATACTAGATAGTATTAACCAGTTGTTATTTCTAGGCTCTACATTCAAACAGATGAACCATGCTATTTAACAGATATAAATTCTCATTTCTTGGCATAAGAAAACATTACCAAAAACAACTTAATAAGAGAGAAATCAATGGCAAAGCAAAGTTTATTTTTGTGCTTCCTTGTGTTTTTATTCTTCACAAGTTTTTGTCAGATATACTATTAGTTGTTATAAGTTATATTCTTTCCGGATAATATTTTTGTATTTTTCTCTTGGATATGTTTGGTATGAAGATGAAATTTCTTTTTCAATTTTTTCATGTTTAATCAATTAAAAAAAACATTATTTCCATAACATAATTATAAGTCATTTCAAGTTGAATAGAATCAGTAATTTCTGATTTTGATAACACAGATCGAAAACAATTGCAACATATGATCCTTGTAAGTTTCTTTCTCTTAACATTTTTCAATCTAGTTTTTGATATTTGTTTAGTAGTTTGATTATTAAGTTGAATTTACGCTGAAGAGTTCGAGGGGAAGGGGGCAAAACAATACCCCCACCCCCCATCCTCGTGGTCTCAAAGTTGAGCCCTACCTAGGATTGGAGTCAGTAGCAAGTCCTCCCTTCCCTCCCACCCTATGGAAGTAATATTTAATGGCCAGAGAAGGAGCTAGGTTTGGGCTAATGTAACCCAATGACTTTTCTGCAGATTCTATATTTGTACTAGATCATCAAATAAATATGATCGGCTTATTGGTAAGAAAGGGTCGTTGAAATAACTAGGAAAAACATCCATCAAGTCGTCACTATGTAAAGATGTGGTTGGCTCGTAGGAAAACAAAATGTTGAAAGTTGAAATGGCAATCAGTTTAGCTATATATATACACCTTGTTTGCAGAGTGTGAGATAGTCTGGGCTATTTTTCTGGCTGCTTCAATCTTCCTGTACAACATAAAACAGAATATAAATTATTAGCTGAAAACAATTCTCCACTTTAGTGTAGTATTCTTGTTTGTCAACGTAATATTCAAAAAAAAAAATTACTAGGAAATCGTACCAAATGTTTTAGCCTTCCTCAACATCACTGTGCTTAGTTTTAGCCTAGGAAAAGATCAAAACTTTATATGTGAACAACGCTCTTCATTGGTCTGAGATTTTTATTTTTATTTTTCAACGCGGATCTTTTGAGATATTTACATCAACATGGTGTGGATTTCATGCACCAAACCTCAGTAGCATAAAGGAATAGATATATCTTTAGATTTCATTGCAGGATTCGGCGAAAACAAGACAGCTCACGAGGCTTCCTCTCTGATGAAACAGAGTTCTTTAATTAGACAAAAGTTTAATATTGCAAACTGCATCATCTTCAACTGTAAAACACAACCAAACGAGATAATCCTAATAAGCAAACTAGCTGAGGTTCTAAATAAAGTTCAGTTCAGTCTCAAGCTTTCTTTGAAATGAGATCCTCAATCAGGTCTGCAGCATCTTGAACGGTTGCAATACTCTGAGCACTGTCTTCTTCCACCGAGATGCCAAATTCTTCCTCAAGTCCC